TTGAGCTAGTTGGTTGAATTACATGTTAATATAGCGCAAACACGAAAGTGTTGGAAGAAAAGCGTACGGAAGGCGAAGAAGGACAACACGGAGACATTGGGTGGTGGTGGTGGTGGTGGTGGTGGTGGTGGTGGTGGTGGTGGGAAAACATTTATTTAGAAAAGCACTGACAGTTGCACTAGTGTGGCGGGTTCACAAGTCAACTTGTTTACAGGACCAGAGCCGCGATGGTGATGCGATCTCTGTTGACGGCCTATAGACTGTGCATTCAACAATGTGGCCTACGTCGTACACTACCGCGCCGTCGATGAGATACCGCGATGTTTCGCAAGATGTATTTACGCACGTGAAATGCTGGAGAAAGGCGCGCTTATTGAAATATTGAAAGACCCGAACTTTCTTAGTATTTTGTGACGGAAGCTGCAGATGACGAGCGAGAACACTCACACATACGTTCGCTTTTTACCATGCATGACGATAGTGCGAGAACAGAACGACGACGACACAGAGACAAGAAGGACACGAATGACACGAGCGCTCGTGTTCTTCGTTGTCCTTCATGTCTCTGTGTCGTCGTCGTTCTGTTCTCGCGCTATAACTATCGTCATGCCATACCAACTAGCCCATGCTGCCACACTTCTACCATGCAGCAATGCGGTCGGTTGCATAGTAGTGCTCGTCGGCCATCCGGAAGTTTTCTTTGCCCTGTCGATGGGGCCGCAACTAAAACAAGTTCATAGTTATATCAGCACTCGAAAGTATTCGTTGCAGGTGTTAGTTTACCCTCGCGAGGCTGTTCGTTCGGCCAAGTTTCCGCCTGAAGCAGACGATCCGTGCACAGGAGCAGCGGCTGCTGCAGCGCGGTCGAGAGCGGGGACGTCACACGCGAGAGGGTGTGACTCCCGTACATAATCGAGGCCAACAGGCCCTTGTGCTCAGATTTGGGTGCACGTCAAGGAACCCTATGCAGGTGGTCGAAATTTCCACTACAGCATCTCTCGTAATCATGTTGTATACGTTTCGGGCTGAAAAGCACCAGCAAAATTGTAAAAGGGAGAGTGCTGAGATGAGCAGGTTCTGCCATATCCGAATAGCTGCTGTCGTAGTTAGGGTAGTGGTGCGCATCCGTTTTTGAGCGTGCAGCATCCGTGACCGCAGCAGTGGCGAGGCGTTTGTCTAGCGAGAGATACCGGAGTATGGGTGACCTCGGTGTACCTGTCAGCTATACGCTCACGTGAGACGACGCGGCGCGCCCATTTCTTCGTCTCTTATTTACATGTTTGTATACTCTGCATCGCTGCAGCCTATGGCATCGTTGGTTGCCGCACGTGCTAATGCCTCTGTTTTCACCATCTACAGGTATATTTCTGTTGGCAGAAAGAGTTGTATACATATTATAATACAACTGAACGGTACCGCATATCCTTGACGCCACAGCGACTTTTTATTGGCCGGCCTCGCCGCTGCGCTTTCTATCGCTCACCTCTGCTGCTCTTTATGCCGCAATCGTATCGCCCCCCCCCCCCCCCCCCCATTCGGTGATTGAGTCGCGCGCCGCGCATACAGCAAACGGTGCGCCGCGGTCCGAAACTTCCTCGCCGCGCGGCAGAGATACATGGTATGTTCGTGCGCCTCGTCTATGTATAGTATAAACCGGATCAAAACAGAAATCGCAATCGGCCCCTGTATATGTGTAAAGTGTGTCCACTTGTCCTCCCGTCCCGTCCCCCCCCCCCTTTTTTTTTTGCCCACCTTGCGTTCTGTTTTCCCGACAGTGCCTGCACGTGACCTGGCGGCGAGGCCGTTTAATCATTTTGGCTTCGTAAGCCGTCCGAAACGATGCGAATGCTTTCCCGAGCGCCGCCTCTTCTCCCGTTTTCTTTCCACGTGGCAGAGATAACGTATGCACTGCCATTATTACCTTCCTGGATGGCTCCACGTTATTTTTATTCTTATTAATACGTCTTTTTTTTTCCTCGCTTTGAGTAGCGGTATTTTTTCGCTTGTGTGTCGCCGTTAATTAGAGAGAGAGAGAGAGAGAGAGAGAGAGAGAGAGGTAGAAATAAAGAGCGGAGTGCCGTGGGCTGTGTTTCTATAACTGCATGACGTGACGCGGTATACTTAAGCCACCCTGTGTTGTGTGTGTGTTTTTGTTGTTTCTCACTTCCGGGAGTTCTGGGCTGTTTTTCCGTTTCGTTACGGGGTGTGCACATACTCATGAGCTAGCGCAAAGGGATATGCTTTTTTCGAGTTCGTTGGCGGAGGATGTCACAACGGTGCAGGGGCGCCGAAATCCAGGCGTTGGCGTTCTCACCAAGCACATCTTTTTTTTTTTTTTGCTGTCAATTTTGGAAGTCTTTGTTTCCACTACTGTGAATGAATTAAGTTCGCGGCTTGTAACAATTTTCGCCTTAGCTGACCTGCATCGTAATGGTTATACTTGCCGAGTAACATCAAGAACGTTATCCATTACTAGCAACAGGTGTAAAAAACATTTTAACAACTGTATCGTGGTGCTCCACTAGGCGAATTCATTCAGTACGTATTTGGATTGCACATCTGGCAAGTCTAAATCAGTTAATAACTGCACTATCGTGGTGAAATTGCGATTAGCATGATAAAGGTATAGATCAAGCTGTGTATATCCGTTCGTCGTTTATTGCCAAGGACCTCGATCTTTCAGTATTAGTTTTGTCTGTGATGGTGGGATTGGGTTGTCTGGCTCGTTTCCTGCATGCTTATGGTGCCATCTAACTATACATCGTCCACTACGCCGACTGTAGGAGCTCGAGAAGCTCGGTGGATGGCTCCGCGTCTGTGCATGTGAGCGGAGCCGGCCAGCGCTGTGGCAACATGACCACAGATGGATCGATAGTTGAATAGACGAACCTTTGTTAAATTCAATTAATGGACGGAGGGGGTAATATCAAGGGTTGTCAGTTCCCCGTGGCAGGACTCCTGTGACGACCGCTGCTCGCTCTGCATGCTTGATCTGCGAGGCTACGGAACGAATGAACACCAACGCTGGAATGCGTGCTCTACTAGCGTTAAGGGGACGACCGCGTTAGCAGCGAAATGCTGCATAGCAATTTTACAAGTATTACTTGTTACTCAATTGAGTGGTTCTTAGTCGCTGTAACTACGTTTCGAGTCTTTTTCTCCTTGTACGCAAATGCATAACAGAGCTCAATTAGTGGCAGCTTCTAGTGGCTAACTGTCATGCGTTTCTCTTTATTCGAACACTGGTTGTTTCTTGTTGCCACACCATTGCTGCCGGAGTCGCAGCTTGCGGACAGCCTCACTTGTTGGCTGTGGTTCCCACGGTGCAGCTGATTCGGCGCCTTCGATGTGAATTGCCTTCGAACCGAATTACCTGCAGCTGAGAGCGTTGTATGCACTGCGATCGAAAGCAGAGCACTGAACATTGTTGAGAGCATCGTCCTGATGCTGCGGTTATATAGCTCTGTGGGCCTCTTTGCAGAACTGGCTGGAGTGTACTTCTTAGTACACTTCAAACTGGCTCTCGCCAATGTAACTTTCCGTGTTGCATCCTCTCCCTCTTTTCTCTCGCGAGTCGCCTCGTCGCCGTTCTTGTTCTCTCTTAAGAGATTAAAAAATCGGACGACGTCTCAAGCTTCCTTTCACGGGGCTTCCGTGTGGCCCTGTCGCCGCGCTAGCTTGCTCTTAGAAGGAACGACGCGAGATGCCTTGGCACGTTTTCTTGTTCTTATCCCTCGCTGTGCCGGTTCGCCGCGCATGGTTTCGCAGGCGCCGTCATGGGAAACGGGACAAAACCGCAACCACGCGAACGAGAAGTCGTGGACGATCTCTCTCTCTCTCTCCTCTATGCAGGTATATCTCAACCGTAGTGGTCTTGTTCCCGCGCACATCCTCTCGCTCTCGTTTGCACAAGGGGTAGTTGAAACCGTTCAAAAGGCGATGCACTCCGGAAAGGGGGTAAAAAACTGTGTGTGTGTGTGTGTGTGTGTGTGTGCGTGCGTGTGTGTGTGTGTGTGTGTGTGTGTGATATATATAGATATATTAATATATATATATATATATATATATATATTCCTGACTTGCTTGGCTCCCTTTGAAGAGATACGTGAACTCTCTTCGGAGGTCATTGTACTGCCGTCGGGGAGTCGCGGGATCAGAAAGAAAGTTATAGTGTCTCTTTAAAGGGAGTCACACGTGCAGCTAGTAGCCAGGACTCAGCGAAAAGAGTGAAAAACCTTCTTTTTTTATGCCCTGGGTGATGTACTCTATCGTGAATACAGGCGTCGTCGTTCGCCGAAAGTAGTGATTTACGCTAATTGTGAAGTAGCAGCCGTGAATGTCGCAGTATACGTGTTCCTGTGTATTATTTCGCCCCTTCGTAAGTCTGGCGCCTTCAAGTTGGTGCACCATATAGCACAGGTCGCGCGACCATGGTGGATGTCAAGCGGCCGAAGTTGTCCGAAAAGCGAGGGCCACGGCTCATTTTCTCGATGCTTCATTTCTCAGTCGTGTGGCCTCAGTCGCAAAAGTTCTGAACCATTGGGATGCTTTGGAACTAGGACCCGCAGGACGTTGGCTTTTTGCGATGCTGCGCAGGCAGACGTGAATTCGGCGTGGCGAGTGGTACATAGAATTACGACCGCAAAGCGGGCTGGATTGTGTTTCAGCGCTTGTGTCGCTTGTTTCTTTCTTGCGTCCTTGTATTTGCGCATTTTTTTTAACTTCCACGGGCAGTTCGCATTATAACATCGGTCGTCTCGAGTTTCTTTTTGGGCGCCAATCGCGAACGGTAGCGCGACCGCTGCTTATTAGAAGTGTTAATCACGGGTGTTAATGAGTCTTTACGTACCGACGGGTCCGGTTTATCCCATCCTCATCGACGCGAGCGCCAACCACAGCGCATATAAGTGCGTTTGCAACGTTTATCTGTGATGTTCTTGCTACTTAATAATTATATTTTTACACAGCTCATTCGTGCACTTTCCTTTTCCGTGTTTCAGGAGGCGAAAGCGGTCTAGGACTCGGCCAGGTGAAACACTGCTCAAAGCGCCGTTAGCAAGGTGAGAATCGGGGCCCCTCCGGATTGACCGCTATGTATACAGTGTGGGACTCACTAAACCCATTGTTTTCTGGTTGGGTAAAGTATAAGGATACGCGGCGTTCTGCTTTGAGGCCTTCGTGCGTCTTTTGATCGCTGTACACACACATTCGGTGACTTCGCATGTGGGGCGAAGTATATGGATTGCGTGCATCGTGTTATTGAGCCTTTAGTGGCGCCGGAGGACGTGATTTGCACCGATACACGCGCACGTCTCTCCTTATAGGGCTCGCGCTAATTGGGCGCTGTGTCGGGTCGGAAACGGAAAAGGGGCGTTCTTGTCGCGGCGGTGGCTGCGCGGCCCTGGTCGCCTCATCCGCTCGACGTGGCGCCAGGGTTCTTGTGCCTGCGAGAGGAGAGCGGAAACTGGATGGCGACTTCCGCGGCTTCACGTTGGCGTCTTCGCGCGACGGCTATGCGGCGGAATTCGTTCTGGCGACTCCAGCTTCGTGAAGCGGTTGTTTGGAGTTGCGGCAGGTTGTTGTATGTGTACCGTGCATGTATTTATACGCATGACAGTCGCGTCGTGATTGCTCTGAAACGGTTCCGGCTAGTTGTTTACAAAACAAAGGCTTCTAATAAAGTGACAGTGTTTCTATCAAGGTCTTGTGCCTGCTGTGTAGTTGCTTCTTTTGCCTCTGGATTGTTGTGTTCAATTCGTTTTGCTGTGTTCGTCGGTATCGGCAGGGACAGAATGGTCGCGTTCTACCGCTAATTCCTATAGCCCACAAGCTTCTCGTCGTAGTAGAAGCGCAGTTACGATGGCGACGTGGTGCAGTACAGTAGTTGCCGAGAGGCATCTGTTCGGAAGTCGTGGGAAGCGCGAATCCTGCGTGTAGCTATACATATATACGCCGCCATTACGCGTACTTCGAAATATCTCGCCCACGTCGGCCGGGGTGGCCTCGTCTGTTTGCCCGACTGGCCCTCCTCCTTTCCCGACATCTGCTTTCCTTTCCGTGTGTATGCCGAGGGTGCTGCGCGCCGACCACTGTGTCAACACCGTGCAGCAGCAGCGCCCTGTGTGTGTGTGCGGGCTGTATAGCATGCGGCGTACACGGAGGAGCCCTGCGCACTTGCTCCGGTGTTGGTAGCGCGCTCGTGTTTGCCCGTGTAATTCTCGGTGCGGGCAAACATCGCCCGCGGAATTCGCCGCGGGGTCGTGCGCGTACTGCGTATATACGAGAGCGCTGGGAATCTTCCCGAGCCTGTGAAACGCCCGTCTCGCAGTGTGCGGGGATATGTTCGATGCGTGGGGGCGCGCGTATGCATGCTACACTAGAGTTACTGTATATGCTACCTTTAGGTAAAAGGTAGCATATACAGTAACTCTATGCTACACGAGCGCACACCTTTGCGGAGTGGTTGCGGTGGCTGCAGCTATAGTAGCTGCGTTATGGTAAAAGAGAGAGCGTGTGAGAGAGAGAGACGGAACCGAAGTTAGCGAGTTATAGTGATGTAATGGGCTTCTGACGATTGGTCGCTCGTTCCGAGCAAGTGCATAGACGTTATTCGTTGTTCTTTATCACAATGTATTTTCGCAATCTCTGTTGATGTGCATACTACCGTTGCATATAATAAAAGTTTCTGTTGTGGTTTTCTTGCATCAAATGAAAGGCCAAGCCCTGGAGAGTTCAGATGATGTACTGGTAAGCGTGAGTGTGCCCTGCAAAACGAATTATACAGTACATTTTACAAAGTCTGGGTTCCTATTGTATTCTGCTGACGTCACAACACGGTATGGGCTTCTCGTCTCGTGTTGTTCGCTCAAGAAATTGTTCCGGGCCTCTATCGGTGTCACGGATCCCGTTAATTCGGGAGGCAATCGCCGGGCTAATTCCAAGGGCCGAAGTATCGGCCCCCCGAACCGCACCACGAAAGCGTGGACAATTTAGAAGTGGTCCTTTTTGGCGCGCCAGCGGACGCCGGCTGTGGCCCAAAGAACAAGACAGAGCCGAGAGTTGATAAACAAAACAAAATTATATTCTCAATAATGGCAGATAAAAAAAACGATACAAAAATATGCACACTCAACAATCGTTGAATACAATATGTCACCAATCAAACAACGTACTACACAGTACAATCAGCCTCACTCGAAACAACGGACACAGACAACAATACGCACTACAATGCAGTCGCATGCATTGAACAACCAAGACACTTAAAGACTAAAGAGACAGGAAACCTTTTCAGTCCAATGTTCTTGGAACAAAAGTCTGGATGATACTCTTCCGAGAATCACTCACTCAAAGTCCAGCGTTGTTGTCGTTCCGCTGCCCCCGAAGTTTCTCTTCCAGGAAACATCACGCCTTCACTTGGCCGCTCTCCAAGCTTCAACCTTCTTCGCCGGAAACACGTCGGCTTCACACACGCAGCTGTTGCCAGGCGTCTTCGCTCGGTAGCGGTAGACACACGCTCTTGCCTGTAGCTCGAGCCTTCACCCCTCAGGTGGAAATCCTCTTCTTCTCCTGCTTTGTCCCTACGGACAAAACCTTCGCCGACTACACGGCGGGATACCCTACGCGCTCTGGCGCTAACTTCCGTCTTCTCCTGATCTCTCACCTCGGCTGCTCCATTAAATACCTTCCGCGCGAGATTCCAGAAAGTTCTCGTCATTTCGTCGGCGCGATACGCAGCGAAGGCTGGGGAGAGGGCGAGACGGTTCGAATGCCGTCCGCAACGGATGACTCAACCCGGCATCAACCCGCCCCTTTCCATCTAGAACATTAGAGTGCTTGCTCGGCCGCCGTTGTGGGGTGTGGAGGTTCGTCGGCGAACCTACGCTTCCGAGAGGGGAGGGTCGCGCGCCCGGGGAGTCTTTGGATGCTTTTTCTCTTTTTTTTCGTTGACCTCGCGGCGTCTCTCCCGCGCGTTATCGCAAGAATTTGGCGGCGTGCCCCTTTTGAGCGCTCGTTTTGTGACAATCGGTGACGCACAATGGTAATTTTTTTATGGTTTGGTAGTACGCGACGTTATCATAACTATATCCGCGCTGATGCGTGATGTCGCCAGAATTGATACTGTAGACTGATGTAGTGTCGATGTCAGTGGATGAGCCTTCCACAATAATAGCGGGGGTTGAACGTCCCAAAACCGCGATGTGATTTATGAGAGACGTTGTAGTGGAGGCCTCCGCAAATTTCGACGATCTGGTGTTCTTTAACGCGCGCTGACATCGCGCAGCGCACTGCTCCTCAAGCTTTCCGCATCCACCAAAATGTGACAGGCATGGCCTGGATCGAACCAGCGACTTTCGGCCCAGTAGCGGAGCACTTGTCACAAACGAGCGCTCAAGAAAGCGCGCGCCTCCGAATTCTGGCGACGGCGACGATACCAGGCGCCAGATTGTCGTCCTCCGAAACCAGCGTTGAGGAAGAAAACAAGCTTCAAAGGACTCATCGGGCGCGCCTCTTCTCCAGAGAAGGAAAGCGTGAGTCAAGAAAACAAGCTTAAAAGACTCATTGGGCGCACCCTTTCCCCCGAGAAGAAAAAGCGTGAAGTCACTCCTTGGTTGTGTCACGTGTCGCGGACGATTCTCGAAACGTCTCGCCCTTTCCGCAGCCTTGGCTGTGCAGCGCGCTGTCGAAATGGTTAGAAACTTCTAGAAGCTAGAGCGAACGTATTTAAGCAAGCAGCAGAGAGAGGTGACCAGGAGAAGGGAGAGTTTAGCGCCAGCGTGTGTAGAGTGTTTCCGTCGTGGGGTGAAGGATTTTGTCCTCAGTGACAAAGCAGGGCGTTTCCACTTGTCCGGGTGAAGGCTTGTGCTACAAGCTACAGAAGGGTGTGTGTCTACCGGCAGTGGGCGAAGACGCGTTTTGCAGCCGCAGCGCGTGAGAAGCCGACGTGTTACCGGCGAAAAACTTTGGTGCTTGGAGTGCGGACATTTGAATATGCGAGGTGTCCTGGAATAAAACTTTGGGGGCAGCGGTACGACAGCAGCGCTGGACTTTGAGTCAGTGATCCCTGAAAGAGTATCATTCAAACGTTGTTCAAAGAACTTTGGACTGAATAAGTTGACGAACGGTTTAGTTTTTAAGTGTCTTGGTTGGTAATGCATGGGATTGTATTGTAGCGCGCGTTGTTGTTCGTGTCCGTTGTTTGAGTGTAGCTGGTTGTGTTGTGTAGCCCGTTTTTTGTGTGGTGACATATTGTTTTGGACTAGTGCCGAGAGTGCATATTTGTGTATTGTTTGATCTGCCGTAGTTTGACAATATATTTTTGTTGTCAACTCTCGGCATCTGACTCGTTCTTTGGGTGCCAAATAGGACCACATATATATTGTCCGTGGTTTCGTGGTGCAGTTCATGGGGCTGATTCGTCGTCCCTTGGAATTAGCCCGGCGATTGCCTCCCTAATTGATGGGACAAGTGACAGTACTGTAGCCACTGATACACGTTGGTGGACTAGATGAGCCTTGCACAATTTTGGCATTTATTTCAAGATAGCATTTTCAGAGCTTCACAATTGCTCGGAGTCTCTGCATACAAGAGATTTATTTGTATGGCGGAGTAAAGTCCGCTTCGAATGTTAATTTCAGTCGCTCTTTAAACGATGGAGAATACGCACATGCATGACCTGCCGGAGGAAACCTTCAGAGGAGTTGCGTTCGCTCTTGTGCGTTGTCTTGTTTCAGTTGTATTTCAGTGCCCACTGGGGTGTGAAGCAAATAGGGCTTACCGGGGCATTGTTTTCGCTATTGTGCGGAAGTGTTCAGCTGGTGCAGTCGAGCGTGCTTAATTGAAATATCGACGAGGTGTTTCAATTACCTAGAGCTGTGCTGAGGTTCTTTTGAGATTCCGCTTTAGATTATAGTTCAACCAGAGAAATTGGTATACAGTATAATAATTTTTGGATTTTTTTCTCCGAAAACGACCTAAATCTAAGTGCGCGGACTTCTTTAGCATTTCGGCTGCACGAAAAGGCGGCAGTCGTGCCCTGGATTCGATCCCGTGACCTTAG